AAACTGCCAATGGTAGGTTGTTGGGTCTAACTAGTTGAGTCATTGAATCCTGACTGATCCGTCTTCTCCAGGCTTTGAAGCAGATCAAACTTCAGCTCAAACCTGGTTCCATCACAAGGCTTTAGTTGGGAAGTCCTAATTAGAGCATCGCAATCAAGCTTTCCTCCAATCCTGGTGCCCTTGAGATCATGTGAGATGATCAAAATCAGGTTCTCTGAGGAATTATGGGAATTGGGAGTCCAACAGGCTCCGAGTTGGGAGATGTTGCTGCAGATCACTTCATTCATTATGAGGTCAATCTCTCTCTCTCTTTTCCAGGCTTTGTTTGCCCAACACGTCTCCTTATTAACCCCTGTGGGCTGAGTTCACACAACACGTTTAAGCTAAAGTGTGGTTAACTGTTTATGGTTCAGATTTTACGCAAATGTCCTTGTTCTCTTTCCAGAGTGATCAGTCTCTACAAAGAGGACGAACCCAACGTTTACACCGAGCCAGCAGTCTTCTCCCAGATGTTATTACCCTTTCTACTCCAACTGGTTGACAAGGCGTCCACCTCTCAAAAACTTTGGGAGTCAATACAATCCTGGCTAGAAACCACTGGAGCTGGAATCATCTCCGCCATACAATTCTGTAGACAGTGGTGGAGTCAAGGTGGGTTGGGCAAGGCTTCAAGACCGGGGGGGCGTTCAACAGCTTAAGAACCACGCTCCCAAAGCGGGTAAAACAAGGGCCCAATTTGGGAGGGATTTGAAGGGTGTGAGATCAGAGAACCAATTTGGTCTGTGGTTAAGGCACCAGGCCAGAAACCAGGAGACGGTGAGTTATAGTCCTGCCTTATGCTGGCTGGGTGACTTTGGGCCAATCACTAATTAGAAGGTGAATTCTAGTCCCATCTTGGGCAGGAAAGCTGTCTGAAGGACTTCAGATTAGTACTTCTCTTTCATCTCATAGGGTTGCTGCTGTGGGGGAAACTGGATGAAGGTGTTGGTTACATTCACCACCTCATTTGTAAAAAATAATAAAGGCAGAATATAAATAAACTTTTTTTTAAAAAAGGTGTCCTGGTTATCTGACCAAGGTTTAGTGCAGGGGGTCTTCAAACTTGGCCCCTTTATGAGTTGTGGACTTCAACTCCCAGAATTCCTCAGCCAGGCATTCTGGGAGTTGAAGTCCACAAGTCATCAAAGGGCCACGTTTGAAGACCCCTGTGTTGGGCAAACACAGCCAGGGACCTTGAACTGATCCAGTTATATGCGTGGTGTGCAAAGATTTGGTCAGGATGGTGGCCTCCCTGTTCACCTAAACCTTCTGGATCTCATCACAAGCTGGAGACAAACTCCTTGTGCATCCAATCACACTTAGCCAATAAAGAATTCTATTCTATTTGTGTGTTTCAGAGGACATCCCTTGCCTGCATCTTAAAGCCTTGTCCTGTCCTAAAGTACATTCTGCTATCACGGCGCTGCTGGTTAAAGCCATCCTCGTGGCCCACGTCCTGAAGATCTTGGAAAGTGGGAAGCAGCCCAGTGGCATCCCAGGAATTAGCGTCTCTTCCCAGGAGCTGAGTTGCACCATCCAGTCCTTACAAGATCTGCTCCATCAGCGTGGAATAGCTATTACGCTTAAGATGGAACAACAGCAAGCAGGACCACAGGACACTAGTTATGCCTAAAAGACTTTTAATAAAACTTTTTTTTAAAAAAAGAAAGTAATGGGTATATCCCCAAATTAATCCATTCCTTATAGGAATAGCAGAAAAAACAGAGTTGGAAGGGACCTTGGAGGTCTTCTAGTCCAACCCCCTGCTCAGGCAGGAGAACTACCAAGTGGTAGTCCTCATTTTATAACATTTAATGACCGCTCAAAATTAAGAAAAGTGATTTGCGACCGATCCTTGCAGTTATGACCGTGTCTCTGCGGTCATATGATTAAAATTTAGAATCGGAGTCGGAGAATAACAAGGGAGTAACTCTTGTTATTCTATTCTAGTCCATCTAGTCCAACACACACCCCCAAAAGCAGGAGACCCTACACCATTTAACGACGGACACAGCATATTGGGGTCTCGTGACCACCATCTGCAACCTTCCCAGGGGGCTACAAGAGGTTAATGGCGGGGATTTGATTAATGACTGCAGCAAAGGTCTCAAAATCAGGAATGACTCACTCCTGGGAGGGGGGGGGAAAGAGTTCTTTGAGAGAACCCATACTGTCAACTAAATAAATAGCAAAAAATTAGTCTTGGCCACTGGAACAAATAAACAGCACTTTTAGTCCTGCTGTGGAGTCTACATCGCCTTGATTAATTTTCCATTTGCTCTCAGCCTGTGTTCTCTTGCTGAGCTGATTGATTTGAAGGAGATAATAGCTTTATTTTGAAACTGGCTTTTGTTACTGCTGACAGAGCTGGCTAGGATTTTTTGTTTTTGTTTTTTTAAAAAGGGACGCCTATAAAATGAAATAAAAAAAATCATGGAACCTAACCCTCCATAATATGCAGAAAAACCAATCAAGGCGTTCGTGAGGTAGCCATCTAGCCTTTCCCCCCCCAAAATATCCAGATATGGAAGACCGTCAATCTCCAGAGGTCATCCACCACTGTGGATGATCATCAGGAAGGCTTTCCTTCCACAAAATCTAAGCTACCTTGGTTGATTCTATGTGCCATCAAGTTGTTGTTGACTTAGTGATCACATAGATTTTCTCCACCTCCCTAGTCTGGTCCTTCAGCTCTTCCAACGGTGCACCTACCAACTCCACGTTATTATTGGCCATCCTCCTCTTCTCAACAAGGGATGGAAACTAATCAAAGAGACACCCAGCCTAGAACTAAGGAGGAATTTCTAGACAGCGAGAACAATTAACCAGTGGAACGGCTTGCCTCCAGAACTTGTGGGCGCTCCATCACTGGAGGTTTTTTTTTTAAAAGAGATTGGACAACCATTGGTCTGAAACGATCAAGATTCAAAAATTGGCGTGGTTTAAATGAAGCCAAGAGACAAGTGACTTAATAAGCAGGCAACGTTGGTTTTATTGTCAGCGTCCATGCCGGAGAGCTGAGGAATCCCAAAACCAGACTAGTCTTTGGCTGCCAGGGCACACAGCGAGACATTTAAAACATTTAATTTAAATCCTCCATCTAAGGAAACACCGGATCCTGTAAAAACGCAAGCAACAATCCCCTACCCTGGCCACCTCTGCATTAATTTTATCCTACAGATCAGGGGTCTCCAACCTTGGCCATTTTAAGACAACCTGTGGACTTCAACTCTCAGCATGGCTGATTGGGGAATTCTGGGAGTTGAAGTCCACATGTCTTAAAGTTGTCAAGGTTGGACCCCCCTGATATAGACAGCGTACGAAAGAATTTCGAGAATTAACAGCTCACAGGAAGAGAAGTTCATTTACACTGACATTCAGAAAAGGAGAAAGGAAGATCAGTTATCGTCTCCCTCTGGACCACAAATACGAGTTCTCCCTTAGTGCTACCTCCAAGTGTCTCTGCACCAAAATTCTTCTGGACCAGCCAAGTCCAGCAGCCAGCACCCAACCGGGTGTGCCTTGACTCTGTCCATCCTCTAATCCCCGCCACAAAGCACAGGTTGTATTTAGCTCACCTGCAGCAGGCAGGTGATAATTTTGGGAAGCAGGTGAGTGGACGGGAGGAGACCATCCCCGAGAATGAAAGAGACACAAGATGCAAAAACCTTTGGCACTGATTAGTGGAAATGTCCCGACTTGGCACCAGGGCAGAAGAGACAAAGGGGCTGCCTTCCCCTTCTTAATACAGTACAAGAATCGGTCAACCAGTGTCGCCTTCGCCAGATCCTTGCTCAAGGATGTCTGGTTCTCAAACTAAGGCAGTGTCTAAGGAGGAGAACAAAAACCCTTTGAAAAGGATGACTGGGGAGGTCTTCTCTCCACCAGATGTCCCAAGGAGCATGGTCTGAAAGAAGAATCGTGTCAATGGCTCCCTTTCGCCCAGAACAATGAAGAACGCAGATCCATCAAGTCTACGGAATGAGTCAATGGGCACAGTAAGGCAGATTCTGTCCGGCCAACGTGAAGGGAACGTCCCTGTAGGTTCCAGATAGAGACCAAGGGGAAAAAGAAGTCCCCGATATATATTTTAAAAAAAACAATACATTCATCTGAACATAAAACCCAAAGTGACAAGCACAAAGGGTGGGGAGGCACATAAAATCTAAAGTTTGGGGGAGGAGGGAGAAAAAGACTGCAATTTCCAGATGAGCTGATCCTACTTGCCAACGCTTAACATCTCTAGAAGATCAGTGGTCACTACTATTTCTCTAAGGAGAAGATACATGAATGTCCGTGTATCTTGCCTGCATTTGGGTTATGTGAATGGATCTAGGAGAAGGCCTACATGGAGAATGTTTATCCTGCTCTGGAGAGACCTATCTATGCCAGAAGCCTAGGATGTCCCAGGGGCTCGGAGGGGTAGACTTGATCATGAAGAACTGCAAGTTGCCAAAAGAAAACCATGGAAAGGATAATTTTTGGAATGTGTTCAGTATTTTGGTTACTACTTCTTGAAGTCCAGAAGTGAATGGATACCACCAGAGCAGTGGGATGCAAAGAAAGATATGGACCACGTTTATCTCCTTTGGGTGGAGATAACTTTTTATGGAGTCTTCCATAAGTCTCAAGATACTGTCTTCCCCAACCTAATGCCCTGAAAAAGTGTTGGACCACAAAACCCAAGAATCCTAGCAGATCCAGCCATTGGTTCTACGGACCTGGGAAGCATCAGGTTGGGAAAGATCCTGTAGACCACCTTGTGCATCACCTTAAGTCAGCTTGAGATCCCTTTTCTTGCTGAAGAAGACCTCTTTATGTTCCACCTCTGTCTTTCCAAAGTGCTCTTTGGTGGAAAAGCATCAAATAAAAATGGCACTAGAAAAACAAATCAGCACTTACACAAACACACACACGCACACCCCAATCCCAGCTACCTGCACCATCCTCAATCTGTTTTTGTTTTGGAAAAGGAAGGACTTTGTGTCTTGAACTTGTCTTCTAAGAGTGAACAAGTGAGAAAGCCAATAAGAATGTGTATTTTTAAGAACACCAAGGAAAACCACCCTACCCCAACCAACTGGTCATTCTCTGACCCTCTACCAGAAGAAAACTATTTGATAGTGACCCGTGGATTCATTTCCATGACCCTGTCCTGCTGACTCCCCAGTTGTGGTCTCACACAATCGACGACTACAATGAAACCTACAGAGAGAAGATCCATCCGCAGTTTGTTCCGATAAATAAGTATCATAAAACGTGACAGTGATTTGGGGACTGGAATCGTGTCCTCTTTGCACCCGTGCACTGCGCCCAGTGAGAAGAAAGAAGAATGAAGAAGCACACCACCCTTTCAAATGTTCTCTGCAGTTGGTCACACCTTTTTTTCCCAGCTGTTGCCTGACGGGGTGGGCAGATGACTACCCGGCTCACGGCGGTGAGCTCTCAGTCCGTTTTCCAGACTTTGTTGAGTAGCTTGACCACTTCATCGTAGATGATGAACACAATGGCTACGTCTAAGCAGACCCTTCCCAGGCGAGGAATTGTCCCCTTGTAAAACCTACGTGGGAAGAGGAACCAGAGATAGATCAACCAGGAACCCAAGAAAAGTCAGGGGGATTGTGGGACGCTCACCCTTGGAGAGGTAAGCAACCCAGCAGACCATGACACCCTCCCCCACCCTCGTATCTTTCCAAGCCATGCCAAACTCACGCTAGAGGTCCTTCATATTTCATAATTTGGTAGGCGCAATTCAAGGTGCTCTTATACTTATGCGCTTCAAGTCCCTGGAAACAGAAAGACGGGGGAAAGAAAGGGGAGGCTGGATTAGCAATAGCAAGAAGAAGTTGAGCACTACACAACCTAACAACTTACCTCACTTGGGCTCCAGCTGATCACACCCATTTCGTTTCCGACTCTGGTTTAAATTCAATGAGAATCGCAACGGATTGAGTTGAACAACTCAACCACCCCCCTCTCTTTGCTGACAGCCTTCCCAGGTAGAACAGACAAGAAACATGACCAGGTGAGCAGTTGTGGGTGCTCCATCGCTGGAGGAAGAAAAGATTGGACAGCCCCACTTGTCCAAAATGCAACCAGGTCTCCTGCCTTGAGCAAAGGGTTGGACTAGAAGACCTCTGAGGTCGTTTCCAGCCTTCTGGGTCTATGCTTTCTATTTCAAATGAACGAAATAGAATGAAAACAAGAATTCAGCAAGGCTCTCCAATTCAGGCATTCCAAACTAGGCAAAAGGCTCACGTTTGCTGAAAAACAGCTTAGCTAATCAAGGGAGGTTTGGAGTTTGACCTTCTCCTCATTGTGGGACCTAGTCAATGACACAGAGACGTCAAAGATCAACTCTCTGCATTCTTCCAATCCCTGGAGGCGCGGATCAGTTCTAAAATTCAGGCCATGAGTCACCAGATTGGGAACCCATAGCTAAGAGTTGCTAAAACCCCAGCCTACCTGCATCCTCGTCTTCACAACATCTAACGGGGTGTTACCAAAGACGCTGGCAGCCCCAGCGAACGCCCCAAATAGCCCCGTCACAAGTGGGTTAATCTCTTTGTTGGGATTGTCCCCTGAAAGGAAATAAACATGGATGAGAAAGAAAGGAAGGAAGGAAGGAAGGAAGGAAGGAAGGAAGGAAGGAAAGAAAGAAAGAAAGAAAGAAAGAAAGAAAGAAAGAAAGAAAGAAAGAAAGAAAGAAAGAAAGAAAGAAAGTAAGTTTTTAAAAGAGGGATGTAACTCACCTTTGTACCAGTTCCTCAGAGCCGTCATGACGAAGAAACGGATGGCTTGGTTAGATCCTTGTTTGAGGACTGTGGCAGTTAAACCTTGATAGGTTCCTTTCAACCCTAAAAGACAGGAGATGGGGGAAGGCTCACTCAACTGTGGTCATAAGTGAAGGACTTTCTATATTACATTCAGCTTCTTCTAAATAAGACTAGGCCACCCAGCTTCACTGATATTTAAACCCCGCTGATTTCCAATTCTGCAGATAGAAGACGGAGAAAGATATTGTCTCCCTGCCAAGGATCCACGTTCCTCACCTTGTTCCCGAACGATCTCCCGCACGCCATGAAAAAAACCTCGGTATTTTGGGTTGGGAGAACATTGGTCGTGGATGAACTTCACCTGCAGAAGAAGTGCAGCAGAGAAGACAACAAGAAGCGTTACTCCAGAGAAGGATTTGAGACGATTCTTGGCACCCCAAGATTCGCAAATAAGGTTCCTCTCCACAACAGACACATGTCCTCTTTCTTTCAAGGGTTTTTTTTTTACCTTGACGGTTTCCATGGGGCAGACCACCACCACGGCTTCGGCCACACCAGCCCCCAAACCGGCAAGAAGGCCACGGGTGCTGTCCAGTTTTCCATCGGCATCTCTCATGTGGTTGCTCAGGAACTCAAACATGCCAAACCTGGGCAGGGGAAAAGAGGAGGCCGGTGGGCCCGGGGTAGAACAAGGAAGGTCCTCTATAACGTTTCATGACCCAACTAGATAACATTTTCAGTGCACAACTTGACCATTACCTACTTGGGTCATGAAACATCTGCAAGAAAACCAACAAGCTCACAGACCACCAAGTACCCCTTCGCTTCCTCATGTTTTTAAGTCACTCCTGAGCTTCAAAGAGCAGATTTTCCATGAAGATTTGAAAGCAATCAAAGCTCTCCTTTTTGTTGAAAAAGTTTCAAAGAAGCTGATGGAGCTGTTGGGGTAAACGGGCTTCAGCCACACCATTCTGAGGGCTGCAAAAAATAAGGTTGGGATGGAGAGACAGAGAACCCCAAACCCTGGTTGACCTGTCCTCTTTTCCCAGGGAGAACAAATATGGACCACAGGAGCAAATCCTGAGCAACATCACTATTGTAGATCTAGGTTTATTAGGTTTGAGATACCCAGAATCACACTGAGGAGGTCATCAAAGATCCAGGAAAGAGTTGACTAAACTCAAGTACTTCTATTGCTTATTTACTGCCATCAAATGGAGAGGAACCCTTCGCGGGGTCTTTAGCTTGCCAAGATTAAATTCTATGTCCCCCCCCCATGAATGAAGGGGTCAAATTCTCTCCCCATGACCCAAAAATTTGGGGGAAGAAGTCCATCTCCCCTTCTTGAGTACAGAGACCAATTCCCATCTGCCCCACCTAGAATCTGGGGCCAAAATTCCATCCCCCCACCCAAAAATCTGGGGGGGGATGAATTCCATTCCCAACTACTTGAGAATATGGGGACCAATTTCCCTCCCTCCCAACTACAATCTGGGGCCAAATTTTGTCTCTTTTTTGTCCCCTTAAATTTGGAGACAAAATCCCACTCTCTCCATTTGACAATGCAGGCATGAAATCCGTCCTCCCCGCCCCCCCCCAAAATAAACCCCAAATATCTCCCATTTCTAAATATTCCTGACGTATCTCCAGCTCTCTTCCCTCCTGACTTTATTCAAATAAATCCTCTTTACACAACCTGATTGTCCCTTCTAGACACCCCCCCCCTCCCATCCCTAGGTACACATAGAAAATCTGGTGCGTTTGAACTTTGAGCAGAGAAAGAGGTAAAAGACAGAGGCAGGTCACAATGTGCCAGTAAGAGCTATTATTTGTTCCCTCTAGGAAAAAAAAAAAGAGTGAAAACAGCCACTGCTAAACCAAGATTCAAGCTGAATCAGCCCATCTTGGTTTTGTTCAGCCTTGGCCATTAAAACACGGCGGATTCCCTGAGCAAAGTTAAGATTTGCTTAAGCCTGGTTTGCTGGATTCAACCACAACTGGCTGAGTAGAGATAACCCATAAATCAAACCTTTATTGGGATTACAAACCAGCATGTAACAAACTAAGCTAGAAACCACTGCTTAGCACCATAGGCCAAATTAACCCATAAATCAATGCCAGGGCTGTGATGTTGTCACAGGGGGGTCCACGAAGGCTTGGGAAAAACCGTTATGATTTAAATCTTGAGTCAAGTATTTAAAGGGGGTCCGTGGGGGAGAAAATGTTGAGAATCACCAATATATCCTATTGATGGCTACTTTCTTTTAAATAAATATTTTATTAATTTTCTATTTTTAACAAACAAGTGCTTAATAGACAACGTGTTGACTGGGTCCCTTAGTAATTCCGTGGTACATATAAGCTTCTTCAAACTAAATCCAATTATTACACCATCTGATACTTTCTTCTTCCAGTAATAAAACATTTTTCCACATTAAGCAAACACAATTCTTATTGTGGTTCATAAATATACAGTTGAATATCAGCATTGATTACAGTTTTCTAGTAGCATCAACGATGTCAGTTTAAAATATCTTTTCCAACCAAAACATTGGCACTCAATATCCATTTATTCAGTCACTATCCTATTTTTGCTTTTTCAATTTTAATTTCCCATCCATATTCAAAATACCCCAATCGTTTATAATTTCAAAACATGGCTACTTTTTATGAGCTGGCTTATTGGTTCTTTTGTAGGAAAGAAATCTTGATAAGCCTAGAACCGACGCATCTCTAGAAGCAAGAGGACTAAATTTCACGCTTGGAACATTTTCAGCTCCAAAGATTCTGCACCCTCCTTGCCCACATCACTCACCTGTGTCCTCAGGTAACACCTGACACCCCCCCTCCCAATGTGTGTCCAGTAGATATATTTACCTGACAGCAGCCTTCGGTATGGAACCATACACCAGTGAGCTGAGACCTCGATAAAGCCCTTTGATCCCATGGCCCCGGACTGTCACTCGAACGCAATCCACTGCGCATAAAGAAAAGAACAGAAAAATATATATATACCCATATTAATAAAAAGCAACCAGCTCCAAACAGGGGAACCGAAACATCAAAATACAGTTTGGTGGCTTGATGTAAACTTGGAACGGCCCAGTCTTACCGATGCCTTTATAGCGTGGCGGGTTGGCTTTTTCATCCAGCTGTAGTTGCGTTTTCACGTATTCGGTAGGGAATGTGATACAGATTTCAATACCTCCGGCAAGGCCACCTGGAAAGGTAAACGAGAGGAGGAGGATGAATCTATCCACAGACTAGAGTAGAATAGAGAAAAGAGAATAGAACAGAATAGAATACAGAGCAGAATAGAATAGAACAGAATACAGAAATAGAACAGAATATAGAATAGAATAGAATAGAATAGAATAGAATAAAATAGAATAGAATAGAAAAATGGAATGAAGAATAGAATAGAATAGAATAGAATAGAATAACAGAGTTGGAAGGGATCTTGAAGGTCATCTACTCCAACCCCCTGTTCAGGCAGGAAACTCTACACCAGTGGTGGCAAACCTATGGCACGGGTGCCAGAGGCGGCACTCAGAGCCCTCTCTGTGGGCACGCGCACCGTCACCCCAGTCCTAGGCCTTCAGCTGGGTTTTATAAACCCTTTTCGCTTTAGGCCTCCGCAGCCGTGTACAAAAAAAAAAAAAGGTTCAATCAATCAGTCAATTTCAACTTTTCGCGGGGAAAAAAAAGATCTCGCAAAGTTGGAATTGATTGATTGAACTTTTTAGTCCCACCCAGTCTGCTGTTACCACCGCAGCCACGCCCACCCAATGGGCCACACCCACCCGGCACCCGACGATGCATAAGTGGGTTTTGGGTTGCAGTTTGGGCACTCGGTCTCTAAAAGGTTCGCCATCACTGCCCTACACCATTCCAGACAAATGGCTGTGCAGTCTCTTCTTAAAAACCTCCAGTGATGGAGCACCTACAACTTCTGGAGGCAAGCTGTTCCACTGATTAATTGTTCTGTCAGGAAATTTCTCCTTAGTTCTAGGTTGCTTCTCTCCTTGATTAGCCCTATGATTCCATATTCTAAAAACCCCATTCTGCAACTTGTTTTTCTGCAGAAGCCGAGGGATGGCAGGCTTGAGTTTTGGGCTACCGAGAGGTATTTCATTGGGTTGCCTGCTTCCCCCAAAGTCCTTCAGATCTTCTCCATCGAGCTAAAAAGGAATCCATGAGCTGATTTCACATTCTGAGCCCAACAACGGGACATGTTGTTTTCTTCCCGCTATCTTCACGAAGCTGCAACTCAGCATGACTGTGCAAAGGAAACACACACTGGGTGTCATTGGCTGGCCGGAGACACAACCCAAGGAACACCCACAGCGAGGATTTACAAAGAAACTAGATCTGGATCCCTGACAGCAGCAACCTCACCATGACAAAGTAGCTGGTGATGGGGGGGGGAGGATTTCTTTCCTCCCCCAGGAATGAAAAATGACCTATTCAGCATTCAAGAAAGCAGATTCTTCTTGCCCTGATTGGCCTCCTGGAGACATGATAACAAAAGCTGCCACTTCAGATTTTGTTGTTGTTTAAGGAGGGGAAGCTAAAGCATTTTGAAAAAGAGAAAAAAAATTCTGCACACTTGGAAAAAGTGGCTGCTTAAGTTCTGGACACAGACTATGTACATCGAGAGCCAATTTAGTCTAGTGGTTAGGGCGCCAGGTTAGAAAGTGGGAGACGGCGAGTTCTAGTCCCATCTTAGCCACAAAAGCCAGCTGGGTGACTTTGGGCCAGTCCCCAAGAGATGGTGAGTTCTAGTTTCGTGCTTTAGGCACGAAAACCAAGCGGGGTGATTCTGGGACAATCACCAGGAGATGGCGAGTTTTAGTTCTGCTTTAGACATGAAAGCCAGCTAGGTGACTTTGGGCCCATCACCAGGAGACAGTGAGTTCTAGTCCCAACGTTGGACATGAAAGCCGGCTGGCTGACTTTGATCCAGTCCCTCTCTCTCAGCCCAGCCCACCTCACAGGACTGTTGTTGTTGGGAAAATAAGAGGAGGAAGCTGCGTCCCTTATCTCCAGTGCCTTGAGTTACTCGTAAAAATAATAAAGGCAGGATGTAAATAAATAAATAACTCTATACTCAAGATAAGCAACTTTTTCCCACGGGCAGGAAGAGAGCGAAAGAGGTCAAGTTAAGAGAAATTCAAGGCATGAGATAAGGGGGAGACAAAAAAAAAATGGTTGCTAAGTGGAGTTTAGTCACAACCTTTCATTTCGGGACCGTTCGAAGTTACCACAACGGCACTCAAAAAAAAAGAGACTTGCAAACCGTTGCACCATCCAAATTTGGGCGCTTGGAAACCACGGTGGATTGACGACAACTGCGGCGTCCTGGGACCGCAACATTCCCGTTTGTGACCTTCGCGGGCAGCTTTCATCTTCTTTTTCTTTCCCGTTTCGTATTTTTTTTAAAAAAAAATCCAATCTAACGTTCTTCCTCGGGAAAATTATATTTAAAAGAAGAAAAGTGCCCCGTTTTTACAAGGGGGCAGGGAGGAACCGAACGACACCCCCTTAAAATAACTTGGCTTTGGCACCAGAAAATAGAGAATGCCTCAAAGGTGACAGCTGGGTGTTTTATCTATGCCATATTTCACCAATCTGACACCGGAAGATTAGGGATCTGTCTTCGGAGCTGCATTGCTCGGAGACCATGGCTTGGAGAAGACAAGATGCCTTAGGAAGAAGGAGATGCCTCAAACGCTCCGAGCAGATGCAAAAGGCAGCCAAGATAGTCCCCGACTTACGACCATGTAAGCCCCAAGTTTCCGCTGCTTCGGGAGACATTGGCTAAGGGAATTTTGCCCCATTCTGCAAGTCCCATTTTCACTGCCGTCGTCACTCTGAAGAGCCGCTAAACAAATGGACTGCCTGTATTCTATACACATCCCACCTATTTTACATTAATATTGCTAATATTGCATTTTATATTCAGTAACCTTTTTAAAAATCCGTATTTCAGAGGCTTCGGTTCTCGAGATTGTTATTCCAGGAGGAAGTCACTTTTTTTTGTTTCCAGTAGCATCGCAACTTTGAACAGTCACTAAACCAGTGTTTCTCAACCAATGCTGGCTGTGGAATTCTGGGAGTTGAAGTCCACATGCCTTAAAATTGTCAAGGTTGAGAAACACTGCACTAAACAAAGGGTTGAAAATCAAGGACTAACTACACATTCAAGGAACTCAGCTGTTCTGCTACCCAAACCACCTTTGGTTGCACAATTTCTGCTCACTGTGGCTTTATTCCACATGGATTAAACACACCGTAGCTCAGCATCACCTACTGTATGGATGGTAAGCGTGAGGATGACTGTGTATTTTCTATCCCATTCTGGGAAACTCCAGAGAGCTGATTGACGATTGCGGCAAGACAGAACAGAAATGCATTAACCGGGTAAACAAAGAAAGAAAGAAGCATAAATCTGTCCTTACAGCAGTGAAGGATGGAGGGAAATGAATCACCCCTGACCCATTTCTCTTTGTTTAAGCAAGCAGAAGCCACAAACAAGAGAACAATATATGCTTTGAAGGAAAAAAATATATATCTATTTCAAGAAAGGACGAAGCAAGAAGCTCTCGGAGGCTGCTACTGCAGAAAATGGGGAAAAAAAGATCTAAAACAATTGAAGCTGAAAGCTCCTTTTGCAGAGTCCATCCGATAGGCAAAAAGACAAAATACACAAAATGTACATTAAGCTGCGCCTCGTCCCATCCGACTGGGCAAGCGTGCCAGCTCTGGCACGGAGCCCGCTATTTAGTGAAATCAAAGAGACAGCTTGAACTATTCAGCTTGGGGGAAAAAGACGAGGTAAACCCCACCATTAAACTTCTGAGCACGTTTGCAAATCTTCCAGCCGAAAAACCAGCTTCCCCCTTTGTCCTTCGCCACGAGGGCTCCTAAGGACTAGCAACTTAACCGAGTTAAGAGTTGGAATCTGGCTAGATTTAATCTGGCTGCGGAATTCTGGGAGTTATAATCTACCCATCTTAAAGCATGCTGGCTGGGGAATTCTGGGAGTTGACGCCCCTCCATCTTAAAGCATACTGGCTGGGGAATTCTGGGAGTTATAATCTACCCATCTTAAAGCATGCTGGCTGGGGAATTCTGGGAGTTGAAGCCTACTACCCATCCTAAGGCAGGGAAGAAGCTGGGGAATGCTGAGAGTTAAAAATCTACCCATCGTAAAACATGCTAGCTTAGGGATCCTGGGAGATGAAGCCCATCCCTCTTAAAGTGGCTAAGCTTGAGAAACGTCGCTTAAGAGTGTTCATGCAGCTTATAAACCAGAATAAAATCCACTCCTGGCATGATGGAACAACTCCTGTCTCCCCCAAAATGCTTGGCTGAACATGCCCTGCAAATCCACCTCCTGGCTTTTGCGGGCTGTGACGTTTGGCCCAACTTGGCCAACCGTGGTTTGTTCAAACCCCCCCCCCCCTCCAGTGGTGAAACAAGCCATGGCTTTGTGCAATGTGAGAATTCAGACCCAGAACAACCCAACGGTGTGGAAATCAGATTAGTCTAGGACACCGTGTGCCAAAAAGAGTAGGAGGAGCGCAATACGCCAGAGTTGTGTCGAGCTAAGCAAAACCCCGCCAGCCCCTCCAAAGGTAGACACCTGACTCGCCAGGTAGGGCAAAGAGGAAATCAAGAGGACACTTCCTCAGCTTCCAAGAGAGACGGTTGGCAATGACCTTGAGCAAGGAATGCTTGCCAGCTCGCCCCTGGCAGAGATTCAAGCTTGCAAATGCCAGATATAAACGTCACTCTTTTCCTCCTAACTGCAGAGGAGGGTTTTAATCTGGGAGGGGTCAGAGGACAGCCCTGGGGGGATGAATATATATGGGTTTAAAGTCCTTGTAGTAAGAATCGTGCAACAGCTCCTGCTTAAATTCATGGAAAGTAGGCATGGTTGTTCCAAATACAGCTAGCTCTTGACTGGCTGGCTGCATTAGGGTTTCCTGCCTGAGCAGGGGGTGGTGGTGGACTAGATGGCCTCCAAGGTCCCTTACAAGGGGAGAAAGATCTTTTTTCCCCCCCCCCCCATCCTTTTCTCCTTTGCAGAGTCATTTCTCCAAGGGGCAAATAACTGGAGGAGGAAGAGGAAGACAGAGAGTTTACAACGGCAATAAAGCATCCTGCTTCCCATAAGAACACAACAGAAAAAGGAGATATTTTTTTTTGTATGCA